ATGATTTTAATTAGGATTTTAAAATCAATGATTGAATAACAAATGATTTTTGTTTGGATTTCTATTCCTTATAAATCCATGAACCAATAACCCCTCATAATATTTTGTTTTTTTTGGTAAGCATGACACTGGTGTTATTGGTTTATTTATTTGTAAATTCATATATGATTTGAAATTTTTTTTAATTATGAAATCAAGATATATGGATTTTGAAATAACATGTGTTTATCCATGGATTTGAATTCTTCTATTTTTCTCTTTCAATTCCATTCAAATCCATTTAAAACATAATTTGGATTCCATTCAAATCCATTTAAAACATAATTTGGATTCTCAGATCCAAAAACAAATGACTAAACAAATAACATAAGATTTTAGGATTTTAAGTAGTATTTATAAATCATGGAACCAATAACACATGATTTTAATTAGGATTTTAAAATCAGTGATTGAATAACAAATGATTTTTTTTTGGATTTCCAATTCCTTATAAATTCATGAACCAATAACCCCTCCTTAATACTCCTTCCGTTCTTTTATAAGTGATATTTTAAGCTTCTAATTTTGTTTTTAAATAGATGATATTTTCAAATTTTAATGCAAAATTCATTACGTTTTTATTAGTTTTGACGATTTATATTTTGTAGATTGATTTTTTATTAGTTGATTAGATAATAAATGATGTTTTAGTTTAGAAATAAACAAAAATTAAATGATTTTTTAATCTATGTGCATTCTTGTAAAACATCACTTACAAAGGAACGGAGGGAGTATTTCTGTCCAAATCATGACATTTGCTAATTTCATTGAAAATTTAGAGAATAATTTATTTTAAAAAAAAAAATATGTATGATCTAGATTTGGGCCAATACTTTTCTACATGCTGTTTGTTATAGTTAGTCCATATTAGGCCTGGGTTAACGGTTTAACCCGAAATAACCGAACCGAGGAACCCGAGAATTTCGGTTTTCGGCAGCATCCGATTTCATGAGAGCAAACCGATCGGTAAAATTAATTTGAGAATTCGGAATTCGGTTTTGTTCAGTTCGGTAATCGGAGCCGATCGGTTTAACCTAGACCGAGAATATGCAGTCCTATATAAAGATAACCATAAGACATTAACCTAATTACTAGGGTTTCTTCTTCGTATTTGCTCTCTGCGACTGCGCCTCTCTCTTGCGATAGCGAAAGAGAAACCTTTCTCTGTTTCTTCAACCTAATCAATAATCTTTAATTCGTCTCTTCTCATTCATCATCTTCCAAGCTTCTTTCATTCTCTGTAATCTCAACCGGTGTTAAGACTAACCCTTTGCTCAGAGATTCACCCCGCAACCTCGACTTTGTTAGGGGTAAACACTTCTTCTTTCTCTTTAATGGCTTTTCGTTTTAGTCTTTGGTCTCTAACCTCTTCCTTTGTCTCGATAA